AAAGTATAAAAAAAACAGGTAAATTTTAATTCATAACGTTGAACGAGAATAGAGCAGATTTGAGTGACATCAAGTACGTTTTTGAAATTTGGAGGTAAGATTTTCCATTTCTTCATTGTGATCCGAATTATTAAAATTGTTGAACCTACGGACCCTGAGATTAAGACTTGTTTTTTAGGTTTACAGGGTGAGTAAATTTTTTTTTATTACAAAACTGATTTTTATATCAATATTTACTGTGCATATCCACATCACTCGTATTGTTATTAAAATAATCAGTGGTAAGTTTGATATTGTGTAAGATTTACCATATATATATCCATACTTTAAAACACACTGTACATCATATCGATACGTTCCTGTATTAGATAACATTTTTTGGTTATCAAATATTGATAGGTATAGAAAGCAGAGGATTAAAAAATATAAAATATTATGTTCTAAATATTTTGATAAAATATCATTGTAATAATAGGTACCTAATTATAAAAATACTCTGAAGAATCTAGAATACAGGGATACAACATAAAGCTTTCATTACTGAAAAATATTATTTTTATTATTTTTTAAATCTTAAATGGGGAGAACCCTGTATATTGGCACTGAAAATATTATTTTGTATCTAAGCGAACTGAAAACGTAACTACTTATAAAAAGGTAACCAAAGTAGTTTGTAATTGAATACATTTGTGACAATATAGTTTCCTCTCAAAAAACTCCAAGAATTTTGATAATTTTCCGCAGAACATAAAAAAGGATGTCTTTGTGTAGAACATATGAAAAATAAAAAAAAATCCATCTACAGGTTTTGTGGAAATACAATTTTTGTAACAATAAGTATCACATATTCAAATGAATGTTATTGGACACAATACGAGAGAGCTAAAATAGATTTGAGTCCAATATCAAAAACTTCATATTCAACACCTTGTATTATCCAAACGGTTGGTGATAGGGAGTAACATTTGACCAGGAGGTCGATATCTACAACCAGGAGCGGTTTCTCCATTGGTTCATTTGTAAGTAAACACCCAATTAAATTTCATAAGAACACATTATTTTAAAATTACATAAATAACACCAAAATATAAATTCAATTTTAATATTTTTATTTTTATATTTGTTAATCTCTATTTTTTTGGTACACCATTGCGCTTTGACTGATCGCGTCTCTGTGGTACAGTATACTTAAGTATACTGTGTCTGCGGCGCAATATGATGAGTGAGCCCAAACGAGCGAGAGGTTTTCGTGAATGCATGTAGCTAAAAAGAGAGGTCAACACGTGAAACTGCATAAAAACACGTTGATTTTTGCGCCGCACACAAACAAGGTGTGACGTCACAAAATGGGGCCGGCTATATGGACCTTGCCAAACCTGTGTTGCCAGTCTAGTACAATTTACAATTGTACTAGATGTAGTACATTCTCGAAAAATTTGGTAGGGTCCGATAACAATAAGAAAAACACCGCTATGTCATAACTATCACTTCGCATTTCGAATACATATTATCTATAACTATCAGTAGATAAAAAATAAGTAAGTTGTTAGGTATAAAACAATATTTCCTATATTTCTATAATATTGAAACTTTACTAAACCCCCAGTAGGCGGCGATAATCAATTAGTTACTTTGCCAAGTGATGACGTAGCTATGTTCTTCTAATTGCAATCGGACCCTACTCTAGGATACTCGAAGCAAAATCTAGTACTTTTTTTCCTCGGCGTGTAGCGTAAAATATATATTGTGCTCCTTGTTTGTGTTCCTTATCTATAAAGACCCACTTTTTATGCTCTTCAATAAATTACACGTCACTGCAAATATAATTCGAAAAATCTGGTACATTTAAGGAATCTGGTACATTTTTTAGACAAATCTGGTACATAACAAAAACATTCTTACAACACTGTTCCAAATCCAAATCCTCTATGAAACAATTTAATATAAAACCCGATAAGACTATATTTTAATTTAAAAAATGTGTTTAAATAAGAACTGCGATTTTAATAAATTGGAAGTATGTGTGTCAATTCAACCATTATTCCCGAAAAACTTCTTTAAGGAAAGGTAAATAAAAGTATTTTTGAGGTTATGTTGTTTTATAATAACACTTTTATTTACCTGTAATTTAGTTTTACGACTGTAATTTATGTTTCATATTTTCTGTCAATGTCTAAGACCATTCTAAGACTACTACTTTAAAATGGTCATGTATTTCGTACATAACTGTAAATACTCTGAATGATTAAAAAAGGGGTCTGTTAAACTGTGAAGAGTATAATTTAGAATGCCATACATTATATATCTTCATTCTAGTTTGTATCTGTGTAATATTATGTATTGTGGTGGGACTGATCTTATAAAATAAACATTTCAGTTCACTTGTTTTATTTGCCAATAAAGGGCATTTAAAAAATATTGTATTTGACATGTGTGACAAATTGTGAAAATGATACAATAAAAATTGAAAAATGGTGGGTAAAGTTTTATATAATAATATTTTTTACACAAAAATCAATATAACATAACCTTATATAGATATATTAAAAAATATTTTTAAAATATGAAGAAAAGTCAGTTGACTAATAATGTTTATAGATGGTTTTCAACGTATTAAAAACAAAATAAAGATTACAATAACTAAAACTCATTTATTCGTTCATAAATAGATGTAGTGCTTGAAAACAGCATGATATTGATAATAATAACTACACTTAATACAAACTCAAATAATAAAAACAAAGTTTTGAACCGAACTTACAATGATCAAATTATTGTAGAAAGTGAACACCCATTTTAAATTATCACGAGTCGCCACTGTCTACAACAAATCTGAATTTCAAAATATTCTCCTGGAAAGTCATTTCTCATAAGATTAATGCGGAGTCCTTTTTGCATGAACATGTTTAGAAAAAAGTTGTTTTCGATCTAAAATACATTTCATTTGCAACATATATTTCGAAATATAACGAATATGAAATAAAAATTGAATTCCTTTGTTAAAATATTACCCTCCATATGAAAAATAAAAAAGAATTTTATAATTCTGTAATAAATTGAGAACGTGTATATAGGATGCTCGCAAGTAACAGATAAATATTGTAGAAACCCAAAGGAAGCAAAGGACCCAATATCTCTTATTTCAAATATCGGGACTCTGTGGAAATAAAATTAACATAGAACGGCTATAATATGTTAGAACCTGCATATTGAAGACTTAAAGGCAAAGAAAACACATGTGTGTCCCAATCACGCACAGTCATTCCTATTCCACAGATTTTCCAGGGATGAATAATTTGTTAAGAGCCCTTTGTTGCTTGTGGGCATTACCTAAGCGTCGCAACGCCTATTCCATCTCGGAGCTCCTCCCAGAATCGCACCGCGACGCAAGACGTGATGCTGGCGCGTCTGCGCTTCCTACACGCAAAACTTTTCAACAAAATAATAGTTGGTGGTCAAATCGCGACTGCGAGTCGGAAAAAGTGCATGGGTTTTTTTATTAGCTATCAGCAAAATACGGAATTTTGTGTCTGATTTACTAAATACCAATACAGTGGCAGAATTGTTTGGTTATTAAGAGGTGACATGGAAATAAAACTCCGGGTTACACAAAACAAAGTTTGTTTAAACAATTTACTGAATAAGTTTTTTTATACCCGTTCTTCTAATTTGTTTTTTTTTTTTTTAAATATATTGATTACCTAATATTTCAATATTAGGAATATCAGAAAGGAATTTATTTTTAAAAACTGAAAAATCTTACTTAGATTATCTAATTTCATAGTATTTTCTCTTCGAATGAGGCCTAAAAATTTGTAAGAAAAAGGTTTTTTATTGACTGAATTCAGGTGAGTACCGGCCGGGTCAAAATTTGGAAGAAGATATAACTAAGCCGGCCTTTCGGGAAATCTCCCGGCAGGTCTATCCGCCCCTGACTGAACTAAATATAAAAAAAGAATCTTACACTACAAACGTTATAAGTACATTACTACATAAGGTGGAGTTCCGATGTCCTCGAAAGATTTTTTTTTAGAAATCTTCCGTATAGAATCTGCTCTTCTACTTGACCTATAAAATTAGATTAATTCTGGTATAAAGTCTACATTTTTGTACGATAGTTTTTTCTTAATAGTTAATTAATGAAAAATTTAAATACTATTTTTTTTAAATAGCTCATTAACGCATACCTATACAGCTACAAACCGATCCAATTTTTTTAAACATGCATCAACAAGCTGCTGCTTCTGCTAGTGCCAGAACGACCGTGGTACATAGACTCATATAAAATAAAATAATTAAAGAAATACTCACAAAAAATGCGCATAAAATGGGAATGTATGAAAGAAGAAGGAGAATTGAAAGAAAAGGACGTTAATCCTTAAAAAATAATATATGATTCGTTTCTTGCTGTTTGCGCTCTTATGTCTCTATTTCGCCCACAACTGGATTACTTACATTTTATTTACTGGTGTTGTAAGCGAAATAGCCGATTACAAGAATGTCTGCACTGTAAAAGTGATGGATTCTATGACTTGAAGAAGCAGGATTAATTTAATTTATATAGGTACTTTACACGAGTAAAAAATCTCGCTCATAGGATTTGATAACAATGTAAGTTTATTGTAAGAATATAAATTATGTAATTCAGAGTAAAGCCACAGAAAAAAAAGTAAGATTCTGGACACATAATTCTGCGGAGAGCTAATTTCCTGTTGAGGTGCCTCCCACAAACCCAAGATTTGGGAGCAAAACCTCCTCCGCGATTTAGTTGATCGAGAAATATCGGTGATAAAGATTGAACCTAGCAAATCTGGTTGGCTAGTGGGTTGGCCATATTCATTAAGAAAAAGCCATGCACTTGATCGTTTTTTAAAATGCCGAAACGTCTTGGATAGTCTGGCGCATGTTTAGGGGTGGTGCGAAGTTAGCGCGAAGCTGGCACTGCTCGCTGAACGTCGTGGTGTAGAGAAATTCATTCATTTTCAGCAGTCGCGTCCAAACTCTTGTCAGGAGTGGTTTGCGTGTCGAGCTGCGTCTCGACAGCCCGATCACGTTGTTTTCGTGTACTAAAATACTAGTTAATATGAAGTACGTGTTGGTTTATGTTTAGTTTTGACGTTTCTGACAATGGACTTCCAGAGTGCTATGGAGACTTTTGCTGAAGCCTGGGTGGCTGCTAATACGAAAGGAGCTCCACTTGCAGATCTATCCACACAGGTACAAAAGTATCTCAATTAAATCAAACTAGAATATTTACATCCTGAAGATGTCTAACCGGAAGACGAAACATCTATTTGTTTTTATTATTGTAATTAAAATGAAAATTCATTTAACAAATTATTTGTTTTATTAATAATTATAGAATTATCTTTTTTAACAAAATATTTTTAAAATTTCAGTATTTGGGTTTCATTTTAAAATACATATAAATAATTTAGATTTGTGTATCCCGAAAGCAGTCATACTTTACTTATATATTTTTTTTATTTATTAGTAGTGGCGCTTGATGTCTTTTTTATTATCTTGTTTACTATTTACCCGGTTTTAGACTACTTACCTGATTGCTAAAAACACACAGATATTTGTTACTTTTATATATTATAAATAATTATTATTATCATTGATGATTAGATGTTGTGTGATAGAAAAAATATTGGTCTGTAACATGGTGTTACTAAATAATTTCGGACCTATGCATATCTATGTCCTCAGGGTACAGATTTATAAATTTGAGGTGTAATAAAAACACTTTTTATATTATTGTATTTTCTACACTATTTATCACTACCTATTTATAATGGCAATGTCTGTTCAGAGATGATCTGAGAAGTTTTACCAACATGAACGTTTAAAACAGAATAATTTAATAAAAAAAATTAGATTTTAGTTCATATTTAGTTAATTAAGTATATGTAAAATATAGAAAGTATCAACTAAATTAAGCTTACACAACCATAATTAAAAAAACATGATCCTCGACTATTAACAAAATTGGAAAAGTAATAAATCCACTTATTCTATTAGCAAAGAAATATATATTTTATAAATATTGCTGAAATCCTTGAATATTTTCCCAAATAAATAGATAAGCTCTATTAATGACTTTTAATGGCCTAACTTTTCAATTATTCTTTAATTACTTTACCCTAATGATATCTACTTTCTGTCTGTCTAGACAATTTATAACAAATGCGGCTCACCAGTTTCAAAAATTACTTAATCGATTTCTGAACATGTTTACCTACTAAAATGGCATGAAAGCATGAAATGGATAAACTTGTTGAGTTTCAGAAAAATCGGAAATGTATTTTGGACCGATTTTTTATATATGTATATTCATAAAATATTTGATGAGATGTAGCTTTGGAAACCATAAAATACTAATTATCGCAATTTCAGATTATTTCAATTTAATAACCATGTCTATAGATTTTATCGGTTTTTATAATAATATATTTCAGTACAAATTAAATATTGTAGGTAAAACTGATGAATATTTATACGAAATAGTACAGTATTTCAAAAATGAGAAAATGTGATTGATGCTATTGGCATTTATTTTTTACTGAATGTAAATGTCCCATTATAAATAATTTTCAAAAATTTTTTCAATTGATAATAAATTACAAATGGTTAAATTATAATTAATAATTAACAAACGCAGTGTATTTTCTATTAACCAGTGACTAGTAACATGTAATTTTAATAAGAAAAAACAGACTCCAAAATCGTGCAGATGTCATTACAAATTGAGTTTTCTGATTTTTTGATAGATCCAATTACTAGATCTTTACCAAATTTATATGGGACCACCCCTAAAGTATCCCCTTTCTAATAAATCATAGAATCATAGAAATCGGACTGTGGTAAAGAATTATCGCTGAACAAAAAAATGAAGAGTTTGATGATTTTCTCATGGAGCCAATTCTTAGTTCTTAACCAAATTTATATGGGACCACCTCTGAGGTACTTGCCCCCTTTCCAACAAAAAAGAATCATAAATCGGACAACGTTTTAAAGAATTATCGCTGTACATACATAAAAAAAATATTCCGAGGAATTGATAACCGCGTCCTTTTTATGAAGTCGGTTAAAAATTAAAATTATTTTCTAAATGGTCTTCCCATTAAAATTTCAAAAAACTATCAACTTTAGGCATAGGGAATGCTTAACTCAAATAAAAATTTAGTTAGGGTTCTTTTGAATGGTGATATAATGGTGGTCAATTAAAAAAAGATGAGAAAAAGAAAAAGTAGTTTGCGATGTTAAATTTGATTAATATAGAAAAAGAGTTGCCGCAAAAATTGGGTTTTGGTTGTTTATTTTCAAATCGCCTGTGAATCCTCATACTATTTGGTATTTTTATAATAAAATGCAGCATGATCCGTTTACTAAATCATAAGTTGTGTCCTCGGTTGTGCCAGACTGAAGTGTTTGAACACTATTTAAAAATTATTATAAAACATGGAGTTTAATGCTCCCTACAGATCTGTAAATACTTTTTAGTTCTTTTAATTGGTGTTTTTTTCCGTTTTCTTTTTTCAGGAGTTTTTTTCTCTAATTTCGAATTTATAAACACATTGTATTTTCTATTAACCAGTGACCAGTATAGATTAAAATTATTTTCTGAATTATTTTTTTCCATTCAAATTTAAAAAATTTCTAAAAACTATTAACTTTAGGTATAGGCGAGGGGCAAATCACTTCTGCAATACATGTACAAAATGTCCGCAATCCCATTGAAAATCGCCGCAGTCCCATCAAAATCAGTGGCAATCGCTAAGAAATCGTCGCAGTCGTTCAGAATTCCCTCGCAGTCTCCCCGAAATCTCCCGCAGTCGCTGAGCAATCGTTAAAAATCGCGCGCAGTCAGTTAAAATTTCACCTATTCGCCATTGTCGAAGTAGGTGCTACGTGCTTTGACTAGGCCATCTAAGACATCTTGTGTAAAATTAATTTAAGTTTATCGAAAGCATCGTTCCATCAATTATTATTAATTTTAAAATGTAATTTTTGGCACAGATCAACAAATTTCTGATCTACTTGTATAGAAAATATTTCCAAAGAGGTCTAGAATTGTCTCCATTTCATCCGATTATTTTTTTAATGCATAAAAAATTATTTGTATTTTATAGGGAACCATACACGTTTTAATTAAAATGTATTTAATTTAAAATGGAATTAATTTATTGACAGAATACATTTTTTATTTTCCGGTAAGTACACAGATAAGGAAAGTGTAGAAATCATGATTTTTTCGACCTCGAGTTTTCGACGGATTTTTACGGTTTGGGGTTCCCTGAAGTCGTTTTGACTATTTTCGCGATGATGTATGTGTGGTGTCTGTATACTCAATAAATCATGAAGGGATAAAGAGAAAACACTACATTTTAAACAAGGTTTGATCTATTCTCTAGTACTTTAATGAGTTGATTACATTTTAGGCAAACTCGGAACATCTGGGGGATGTTACTTTATGGGAGGTCATTTTTGTACTCCACGGAATATATGTTATTTACGCTTGGAGAAGAAAATTCTTTAAATAAAAGTTGCTTGTGTTGCTTAATAATTTTTATCCTATAAGTACGTAATTTTCCTAAAATGGTTGGTATTCAAGAAATTTTACAAAAAGAGAAAATTTCGAATTTTTTTGAAAATTGTTCAAATAAAAGTTGCTTGTTATTCTCTATAATTTTTGTCCCATACATGATTTGTACCGTATCAGATATATTTGAGGAAAATTTCATATAAGGTGAAAATTTAAAAACGGATAAAGAGAAAAACATTGTAAACTTAAGCTTTGATCCATTCTCTTGTGTTTATTAGATTTTGGGCATAGTCGGAGTACTTTGTAAAGGGTCGTTTTTCTACTTAATGGAATTATTTAGTGTAGATCCAAGTAACATATCTTCTTTTAACAAGATGATGGCTGTTACCAATGAGTTTCTTAGCGAGGTCCAAACAGATATTTTTAATGTTAGCCTATGAAAGTTGATGACTGTACTAAATTAAGTTCATTAGATATTAAGGTTTGTTTTGTTTTTGTTTTTAAATTTCTTGTTGTTACTTAACTCTACATTGCTATTAATTTTTCATAGGATTTGTAAAGTATCCAATAAATAAATATATTGATATGGAAAATCTCCAGATGAAATTTTTAAAATTAGTTATTAGTGTCAAAATTTGAAGTTAGCAAAGCTGGACGGTTGAGAATCTAGAAATATTTTGAAATTTATCGAGTTTGTAAAGTGTGATATGATGGTTTGATACATAGAAACTGACAGATGGGAATTTTGAAAAGTCAGACATTGAAAATTAAAATGTTTGAGAAATATTGAATTTGTTAGAGTGATCCACAATACGTCGGCCTAATAAGAAAAGGGCCTGACTCCATTTTTTTGCTAAAATGGGATTTAGATACCATCTATTAGAATAACGTATAAGCCACCTTCTGACAAAATTTCAGAGTGTCTACTTAACCGGTTAATTTAAAATTGTCACACACATTAGAAATTTGCCGATTTTCGATTCGACAGTTGCCAAAGAGAAATTTGCCTAGCTTTTGTTTAAGAGTAACGCGTGGTAATATTTTTTTTTTGTGTTACATTCAGTTATATGTGTTAGATGTGAAGAAGAACAGTAATAATGTAATAATGTATTTGTTAAAAAATAACGGTTTTTTATTCTCCTGTAAAATTTTCCTAAACGGAGACAGACATTTTTCTTATTAGGGCGACCAATAGTAGTTTGTGCAACAAGAGTGGATATACTAGCCTTGTGCAACAAGAGTGGATATGATAGCCATATGTAAGACAAACAATCCACTTAAGTTGTACAGTATATTTTTTTTACAACCCACTAACGAAAAATTATAAAATTTTAAAAATTTATTTATAGATAATTAAGATAAAATGACTATTTTAAAAATAGATGATGACTAATTTATTAAATAAAATAAACTTTAAAAAAACAAAACAAAAAAATATTTTTTAAATATACGATATATTTGTAAATATACTCGAATATCTTGTAAATGCTTTTATTTATCGATTCTTCACAAGAATCATTCATTTTTAATTATATTTAATCTCAATAACTAAAAAATATACTGATAATTATCGATAATTATCGCGAAGTGAGAGTTCGGTTTGGATCAAGAGAAAGATCGAGAAAATCCCTTTTCACTGTTATTGAATGATAATGATTGATTGCTTTTA